AAAAAAAGATAAAAGAGCTTTAAAGACTTTTCGTCATCAGAACAACGATTTTTATTTGAATATCGTCCCCTAATATATATTCAAAATCCACCTACCTCGCTTCGTTTGAGGAGTGCTCAGATTTTTCTTCTTCACTGCTGTCACTAGCCACTACCCTTCTGTGTTTCTGAGAAACTCCGTTACTACTTTCGCTAGAATGACCGCCATTCTCGGGAATATTTCTTTCAACACCTTCGTCTGAACTGTCATCATCTGACTGCACAAATTCTCTACTCTTAACTAAAACGAAGTAAAATAAGACTAAAATGATATAGAGACAAAACTCAACCTTTCAGAATAATAACAGTAAATGACCTTTTGCTTTTTGTTTTGTGCTCAGCTCTATTTCACGCCTCTCCTCTTTCCTCCTCTTCCTCTTGCCTTCTTTCCTTCTCCTCTCCTCTCTTTCGCCTTCTACGCCACTCTCATTACTGCTTTCTGCACGCCGTTCATGTCGCTTTCGCCCTCGTTTCTTTTCCTAATCAAGGTAAATCTTGCATAAAAAACGACAAACTCAAATAAAACTAGGACATATTCGATGATAAAAAGCAAAGACTCTACTCATTACAAAATACAAGTGAGTTTATCAAATTTGGAATTGATGACATTCAAAAGTTATTATAAATATGATAAACTGCTGGCAGACAAGCAAGTATTGGAAAATTTTGAAAATCCTAACAAAGCAAATGTTCACACCTCATACTCACACCCCATCAACTAATGATCTAAGTAAAATACTGTTCAAAAAATACCCTTTTCTGTCGAGAAGCAGATGCATCACCGTCACCCCAATCACCCATATCACTGCTATCATTAACAAACTCGTCTCCATCCCTTTCCCTTCTACGACGGCCCCCACCTCCACCACGCGACTTGCGTTCCTCGACTACCTAAATGCGATTGTTTTAGTGTTTTAAAGAAACTGAAACAACCAAAAAATTTTTTAAAATCAAGCGTGCACTTTTTCTACAAAAACAGTGACTGAAAGTAGTAACGCACTGTAGGTAGACGAAGATATTCCTTTGTTTTTTCAACATATTCTCGTCGCATCTGCTTGAGCGCTTCAACCTCCCTTTTTGCTTTTTCTTCTCTTTCCCGTGCTTCCTCCTCCAGCTTTCTCTTCAGTGCCAGGCGTTCTTCCTCCTGTCTCTGTCTCTGCCTTTGCTCCTCTTCATCTTGCGCCTTAATTCTTCCCACAAAATGACACATTCATCACGTAAATGCAAAGCAGTTTTGGAGAAATACCTTTGCTCGTTGAAGATATGTCTGAGCCTGTTTCAGTAAATCCCCGCAATCTCGAGCTTCTGCCGCTGAGGCAGTGCGACTGACAAGGCGAGCCTGACCCATAGTTTCTTCCCGATTTTGAGAAATATATGTGAAAATCCTAGATTGTACATAAAAAACCGTTTATTTATAACAAAAAATATAAAAACGATCGTTTTTACGGTAAAGTTTCAAAATTGTTTTACCTTTCTGCAGTTTTTAGATCCTCTACAGCTCCTAGCACCATTTCCAAAGAAGACTTGTCATCCTTCAGCATTTGCATTGCTAATTTTTTCAAAGTAAATGCATGATTGTACTTAATAAGAAGGTTGTCTGGAGCTTCACATGCAGCCTTAAAAGCTGTCATTAGTTGAAGTAATCAAAACGACAATTTAACATAAGTTTTTCGTTTCATCGAGGTCTTACCTTTTCTAAAACCTGCTTACACTCAATAAGCTTCCCAGCTCTGTAATAAGCTCGCGCAAGATACTGCAGTAAGGGTATGTGGTTAAATCTACCAAACTTTTTCATACAATTGTCATACATCTGAATCGCTGCAACATATTGTTTCTGTTCCATATAAACATGAGCAATGTTCATCCAAACATCTGGAAATTCGGCTGTCGCCTCCCTGACTTGAGCAAAAATATCACGTGCTTCTTGAATAGCTCCCTTCTGAGCCAGAATGCAACCTAAAAGAGATTACAAAACAAACCTTTGAAATCAATTTCTTAAACGTCCCTCTCATAGTTTTCCAAAGAGCTACAATCAATGTTGAGATGAATAAACGAGATAAAAAATAAAATCTTTTTTAAAACCAGAAGTCCTTTTGAATAGTAAGAAAAAAAGTTACCAATCCCATTAGCAGCATATAAGTTTTTTGAATGGACTTTTAAAGCCTTGCTGTACATATTCAGTGCTCTTTCTCGATAATCCTTATCCTTAAAAAAGGAAATACGTGTAGAAACCTAGATAATAATTCCTGTAAATGTGGAAACATACTTTTTCTTTCCGCCTCGTTATGGAGAACAGAGTTTCCAACCAAACATTTCCTAAGCCAACAAAGCTGTAAGGGTCGTTGTGATGTTCAGTTAGCTTCATAACATATTCAAATTTCTTTTGTGCTGGTGCCCATTCACTTTTCGACATATGAAGATTAGCTATCAGAAGCCAAGCATCAGCATGGGTCTGATTTATACTCATACCTTCCTTAAACATAAAAACAAACTTTCAAGAAAGGGATATGCACTGAGCAAAATGAACAGAAACACAGCATCAAAAGTCAGTTAAACGAAAAAATTAATAAAAATGCAAAAATTGCAAAGTTTTCTACTCCTAAGACCAGTTCAACAAACCTTAAACCAAACAGACGACTCATAAATTTGTCCTTTATCACGAGCAAGACAGCCTAATCGCATGTAGCCTTAAAATGAAAGCAGTACAACCTCCGGTAAATTTTAATTTAGTTCATAAACTAAACTTCTTAACAGTAGCATGAAGAAGTATTACATACAATCAATGTAGTTAGGTTTTTCGTGCAGAATACTCTTATAAAGTTGCTCCGCGGTATTAAAGAGACATAGCATTTCATTAGATCGTGCAAGATTATATTTCACCGTGATTTGAAGAAGTTTTAATTCTTCTGCACTATCGTCTGCCAGCTTTTTCAAAGCCAGTTCAAAAGAAGCCTAAAAACAAGACACAATTAGACTATAAGCTGAAAATATAAAACCGGGTTACAGTAACCCTCATCTTATTACAAAAAAAATTCCAGTCCTATTAGCACATTTGCAAAAACTACACCTTTGCTTCCTCGTACTGTCCAATTGAAAAATGCAATGACCCAATATTATTAGTGATTTCAGGCGGTACATCAATTGTATTGGCCTGGAGCAGTTCGATTACTTTTTGGTATGCCTCCAAAGAAGCCTAAAATAAGGAAAAATTTACTCGCCTAAAAAGGAAACAGATGTGACAAGAAAATTAAGATCAAATTGCAGAAGGAAGAAGTAAAAACCTTGCCAAAATAAATTCAATTTCTTAAAAACAAACATAAACAAAAAATTAAAAGCACCTCGGAATGCAAAAAATGCCTAGGCAAATTATCAATTCGCAAAAAGCTTTTAGAGTAAAACATGAGATTAACCTGAGGATTGGAGTTTTCAATGAGTTGCGCGTAATCGATTAGTGCCTCAATATCATCTGGAAACATATCTACTACCTTTTTAAGTACCTCTTTTGCCTTCTGCCTTCTTGTTTCTTTTTCTTTCTGATCTGCTGGTTCAGAATGAGCGTAAAGTGAGCCAAGAACTTTTAAGGTGTCATAGTTGTTCGGAAAAACTTTGAGCACCTTCTCAAAACAACTTATTGCCTGGAAAACAAGCTAATAATCTATAAATTTTACGTCAGTTAAGCAGTTGCAATTGTTGAAAGGTGTGTGCTGAATAACGAAACTTCACTGCAAAAAAATTTTGAACTAAATGAGTGATTATAGAAATCAAGTTAGAAAAGCAAATATAAACATAATAAAAAGACTTGCATTATCGAATTCTTCACGATGAATATACATTTGACCCAAACCATAATAAGGAAGAACAAAGTTTGGACTGGCAAATTGAGTGGCTTGATAATAATGCTAAAAGACCGATCCATTGTTAAAAACACTTCACAACTGTGAAAGAACAGAAGATTTAATAAATTTGTAGAGCAACAGTAGTATGTCTGTCAGAACAGATACTTCAAAAAGAAGTCAGTCATTGCCAAAAATTCACGACAAAAATTAACAATTTAAAGGTAAAACCAAAAAGTTCCGACCATTATCGTTGTCAGAACTTACCTGAAAAGCTTTCTCGAAGTTATTCCGAAAATGGTAACTTCGAGCAAGCTGGAAACTGCTCTCTGCCCGCATTGCCTCATTATCTGTTATTTGGAAGGCATGCCAGGCCAGGTGCTCCACTCTATCGAACATCTGAAAACCAACTTTTATGTTGCGAACTCAAACTCTCTATCTTAAATTAAAATAATTAGAGTTCAGGCACTACACTTGAAAAAAAAAGTTACAAAACTGATTCTTTTCGCCGTTATAAAAAATTATTTAGAAATATGACTGGTTTGACGAATTGTAACATACTAAGCACAAATTAAAAAAAAAAACCTTTTTGTAAAAAAAATGATTTGCCAGGTGGTTTAAAACAACTGGGTTTTCACGGTCGACATTGTAAGCACGACTAAGAAGCTGCACGCCCTTTTGAATACCCTCGTTTCCAGTATTTAAGTCTAATATCGCAAGAGCCACTAAAGCGTTAACATTTTCCGGATCAAGATCTAATACACGTTGGAAAGCAGCTCTAAATTTAGAAGTAGATTAAGCACATAGCGTCTCAAATACCAGATATATTTTTAGAAGTAAAATAATTAAAAAAATAACCTTGCTTTATCCATCCGTCCCAGTTTAGCAAGGCAGTAACCTATACCAAGTCGCACGTCTTCTGGACAGTCTGGCAACTTCCGCAAAACGCATTTATAACAGTTCAGTGCTTTCCGGAACTCCTTCTTTTGGAAGAAAATACATGCCTTACCAAGGGTAGCAGGAATATTTTCATTAAGCTAGAATATAGTAAAAATTAAGTCAAACTAGCAATTCATAAAGATGCCTTTAAAAAATTTATTAAAAATGATTGACCTGACGTGTTTTACTTTTCTGAACCGCTTCTCTATTTGAGTGAAAGAATTTTAAAAGTAGAAACGCAGAAACCTTTTAAATTGCACTGCAAAGTTTCTCACATACTTTCAAAAAAGAAACGGCAAAGACCTATCCTACTGCAGCTTAAAAAATTCAACTTATGAAATTTTTTAAGACCCATATAGCAATTTTTCCACCTACCTGGTTCAATACAAAGTTGAACTGCTGCTCTGCCTGGTCAATTTTCCCTTCTAACAAACAAAAATAGGCTCGACCAAGGAGATGGTAAGTATCATACATTATAATTTTGTCGGCTGTCGTATAAAGTAAAGTAGCTTTAGTATGCCACTCTTTCTTTTTTTCCTTATTTTTCTCTCTATGGCACTGAAATAGAATAAGACTTTCTAAAAACAAATCGACGTCGTAAAAATATGCCCACTAGATGCATAATTCAAGAAAAAAACAAAGTTGTTCCAGCTTGATGGCTTCATTTTTTTGGCCAATCAACCTAATATATGCCGACCGTAGTAAATGCGGTTGCTCTTCATTATAACCAATAAAGGAAACGGGGCCACCAAACGGAAACAGCCAAAAGCATTAGAAAATGTAGCAAAAGATCTGCCAAAAGCCTGCCTGGATAACATAGTATGCAGCAAGGATATCCAGCGCACGCATCTGATCATTCGGATATTCATTGTAATCAAGGCTCGCTTCTGACCCGGCTAACTCCAGGATCCTCACAAAGTCTACCTCATTACCACGAGCATAGTACGCCAACTAGAAAAGCAAGATCAGGTCCGCAGAAAACTATTAAAAGGAACTGTTGTGGCCCTATCATTTGCGTTGAAGCATTTTTTTTAACTTACAGCTACGTCGATCCAATAGTGTAAAGCTGCATGTTCTCCCTTGAGAATAGCCAAAACCTCACTGCCATCCTCAGGAAGTGAGTTGAATTCCAACTCTATCAATTCCTAAATAAATCTGCGCTAAGTCTAGAAAATGAGGTAAAATTTACTTTAAAAATGAGCTGTTCTATAATTCAGGTGCAAAGAACAAAAGAAAAATTTATAAAACAAAGCTCTTTCAGTTGTAACAAACAAAATGAAACTACTACTAAAACACAAGTACTCATCTAAATATATGTCTACGTAGTTCCATTGCTAGACGAAAATAATAAAAAAAAGTAGTTTCCAATAAAAATATGATAAAAACAACATGTAACGGTGCCAAAAAAAAAAATAAAAAAAAAACAAAGATACTTTTGCAAATAATGAAATAGTCGTAATGAACAAGGACTTTTGCGGTGTCTAATATCAAACAAAAAGCTGAATACTATCCCAAACAAAATTAACAACATAAGCAAAAAAACACGATTACACACAAAAATGAAAAAAAAAAACAGCTTTGGTTTTTTTTTCCCTCGGAAACCTTCAAACCAGAAAGTATACGAAGAACATCCAAAGCACCAAAAAAATTTCAGGAACTTCTTCAGCAAAGAAATACAGAAGTACATTTCAAAAATAAAAAATATGAGGAATAGCTCATGGGTAAATAATGAGCTAAAAGACAGCCAGGAAGTTCACAATGACTTACAAAAAGATATTTTAAATCAATTAGTTGAAATTTCATTGTGACTACAAAACATATTTACCTAACTAGAAAAAAACTTAAACTTTAGCCTGATTATACAACAAGCGAATATATGACACTCAAAACATTTTTATCAACAAATGCTTCATGCTTCCAAGACGCCAATATTGCCATAAAAACATCCCGACTCTCGAAGTGTCGAAGGTCGGCCAAAACTGCTTTCTTCGCATTCATTTCCTGCTCATACATGGACAACAAAAAAGGAAAAGTCTCAGCCAAGGCTTGAAGTTTTTCAGCAGAAGATGTTTCAGAACTCAACCTTCCACAACACAATTTCTGCAGAGGAAGTAACTGATTCAGTGCTGTATGTAGTTTTTTACAAACGGTACTGAATTCTTCTAACGATGAAGACAATTTTTCAGAATTGTTAATTAATTCACATAACAAACGATCTTTCTCGTCAGCACTTAATTTTTTCGCGGGAGCAAGAAGAGAAGACGACTCTGCCTGGAGCTGGTCATTATTTTCATTGATAACAGGCTGGGAAGAATTTGAAAAAAATCTTTTGGAATACATCAAACGAAGTCGATCGTTAACAACTTTTTCAAGAGTCTCTGCTGATTTAATGTTCAAAACGCTCCATCTTTGAGTTAGATTCCAAACATCAACGCATAAATCCGATACTCGGCGTTCAAATGCCTAACAAACAATACCCTGAGTAATTAAAGCAAAGGAAAAAAATTAAGAAAGAGAACACTGCCGGCATTTAATTTTGCAGAGACAGTCAAACTGCCTTGTAAAAAATGCATTAACACTAGGAAAATTTCATAGGTCCTCACTTTAGCACGTAAAAACAACGAGTAGCTAATAGTCGGAAAAAAAGTGAACAGCATTAGGCATATTAAAACAAAAAACAAGAGAAAAATGATACCAAACAGGACCAAGAAAGCTTGGAAATTTTAAATAAATACCACCATCTTAAAAGCCAAACTAATTTCCAGCCGTGCTGAGAATGACGATGGAAATTTTAAAGACACTCGAGAATCTACCTTGAAGGAAACAGCAAATTTAAAGTCCTTTTACAAAATAAATACGATTCTTTGTAAAAAAAAATAATTGAAACTGTGGAAATAAATAATTCAAATAACTTACATTATCGGGACTGTCTTTGAGCGGAATTTCGACGGACTGTTTAACGCGATATGAAAATGCCATAACGCTAATCAAATTCTGTCGGTGTCATAAACCGCAGCAATTATCAGTTAACTGACACACGCAAAACAAAGGAATTGAAAAAGCGCTAAATAACAACTCTGTACAGACGAAGGTACTCGGAATAACAGATGAATTCAAATTAACACTTTATCTGGAACAAAAAATCCGATAAAAGCTGGCACTTTTCTTCAATTTTCTACAGCGCCTCGCGAAAAAAATCTTAATGGTATCAAAGAACCTACAGTTTCAATCGGACCTTCGTGGAGACCAGTACAGCGAATGGACGGCTTCAGGAACGATCACAATGCCGGGACTATGATAGAGACTCAACAGTTCAGAGTATAGAATTCAGTGCGCTGACTGCAGTTCAACGTCTGTAATCCCAACTATGGAATTCAAACAATTTTGAACTTCATTGGCAATTTGCCATTTATATAGTTCGGTCCATGGTAACTTATGGTAGCAGTATTCCAGCTTTGCGCCACCTAACCATACCTTCGCATGAGATGAAGCTTGATGATCTCAGAAACTAACTGGTAGTCTTCAGAAGGATTGTGAATGATACTTATTATGGCCGCCTTGGAAACGCTGGTTCTTAGGCGTCCCAAATTAGGGAAATGAAAGTTTCAACAATTGAAAAACGGACAAAGTTTCATGCATTTGAATATACTAGTGAAGTGGAACAAGAACTGTAGGGTAAGAAGTGGAGCGTTAGCTGTAAGTCTTCAAATTCAAGTCATGGAGATCACACACTTCTTAATCAGCCATTTCAGTTCTACCAAAAAATCATTCTCCAAAGAAAAAAACCGGCTTCAAAAGTAAGGAAGGCTACAACTTCTGTTGCTCGATTTCAGAAAAAAAAAATTGAAAAAAGACCTTAGAGTTTGAAACCCGGTAGATATCCAAAAGAACTTTGTTTTAGTCTCAAATATGCATTAAAAATGTAAGTAATTCACAGCATTCAATGTTTCCGCAAAGTTTTAGTATAAACGGTACCTGGGTTTGTTTTAAATTAGTTTTTTCTATTTTGAAATTTAGAACAAACAGTAATACTTTTGGAAAATGCTGATTCTTGTCCATAAAAATTGAAATTAATCGCCTTAAATAAACTATCAAAGATTCTCTTGCCACTTCAGATTTGAAAGCTGCGTTGACGATGTACAAAGGTTCTCATGACTTCGCTGCTTCGTCATACGTATTTCTAAACTGTGCATTGAAAGGAGTTTAAAGTGGCATCATTTCCCGAGAAAAACCATCTCAAAAGACAAGAAACTTTTGCATCATTTATAAATAGGTAGGAGCCTGTAGAGAGTTATCCCGAAAAGCATATTGCATTGCGCTAAACTGTAATTACCAGTGAGCGACTTTAAACTCAAGATAAAAACTAAAATGAAGAAAGGAAAACAGCCTATAAATCGTTGTCAATAAGAACATCCATAACAAAAACTGATTCTCTTTAAGTGGCTTTATTCCACACGCTGAAAGTCTGCATCAGAAGCCTTGTGAGTGCGTGCGAAACAAAACATCCAAATTTGTCTGAACTAAAAG